CTGCAGAGCAGTGCCCCCGATACCACTGTTATCAGTACATAAGAGTGGTAGTATTGTCTTCTGTTCAAGCCTCCACACTAAGAAATGTTTTCACCTGGGAAGCTATCCTTCAGCACTGGTACAATAAGATGAAGAATGATTCATGAGTACACATTGTGGAATGATACCTTTCTGAGTGACTCTTGCTTGAAGTGTTTGCATAAATTGATGTTTAAGGTGGTTTGGAGGGAAGGTACATGTGGATAGAAAGGTTAGACCACACTCCCATTGGAATTAGGTGTCTGAGAACAAAGGCAATAAAATAAATGCAGTGATTTTTTTCTTTTTCATGGTAGCAACAAAATATTTCCTTTTGAAAACTGGGCATATCATTGTCTGATTCTTGGCCTTTATCCTCATGGCCATGAATTGTGGGTTTTTTATTTGAGATTTTTGGATACTGTCACTGCATAACTATTTTACCATCTTTGCCTGATGAAGATATCCACTGGACATTGAAAGCCAGCATGATGTATTTTACATCTTTTGATTAGCCTAATAACACTAGAATGTGTACTTTGGATTTGAGTTTATGGCCACTATGGCTATTATTGATATATCTTATGAGATTAGTGAACATCATATGGATTCTAATCTGCTTCACACAGTGGAACTGCTATTAAGAAACCAACACTTTTGCACTTTCTGAAGTAAAGCAATTTCACTATTCTGAACAAAATTTCAAAGAACAGTAAAGAACAGAAAAGAATGACAGAAAAGATTCCAAAAGTTTCATTACAACAAGCCTAGTTTAGAGATTTGTGAATTATTTCTTATTATTTATTTGTAGATTCTAGAGGTGAATCATTTGGAATATGGATGACAATTATGTACCAGGTCCAATTTCAGGTTTCAAGTTTGGGACCTGGGCAAGCTACCCTCTATGTGGCCCCCAATAGCACTATGCCATTCCCCAGCCCACAGCAGACACACTTGGGCACTTACTAGCAGGAAGCCTGCAGTGCCCAATGAAGATGTGGGCCTGTATGGTATACATACAGTGGCTGCTATAAACATGTTAATGATCTAAGCTTCAGTGTGTATTACATCTGAACTGGTGTTATTAATATGGCAGTGTTGGCAAATGTACTGTGAGCATGCTGGCACTTTCTTTGGAAAAGCTGAAGACTCAGCTGTCATGAAGCAGTTGGTGGTAACCCTGTCAGTGAAGAGATGATAAAGTTCCAACTTTAGTCTGCACTTTAAAGCAGTGACCCAAGGTGCTGAATGTTATCCTCAAAATAGAATTCAAAGACATAGGACGTTTTCACACGGACGGCTCTAAAGCCGCCTGGAAGCTGCCTGGAAGCAAAGAAGAGCCATTCTGGCGGTGAAAGCAGCAGCCGCCGGAATGGCTCCTGATTGCTTCCGGCAGCAGCCCCTCTAATTCCTTTTTAAAAAAGGAATTAGAAAGATGGGGCTAAAGCCGGCCAGCACCGGGGATGGCGCAGGGATGGCGCTGGATGGGGCGGGGCTTGCTGCGACGTCGTATGAACACGCGCAGCAAGACCCCGGATGGACGCCAGATAGCGCCAGGGATGGCGCTGGATGGGGTGGTGCTTGATGCGATGTCATGTGAAAAGTTTGACAATGGAGCCGGAGTGGGGCCGGACGGAGGTAGGATTGCCTCCGTCTAAAGCCCCATGTGAAAACGTCCATAGCAATGTTAGTCTAGAAAAATTAGTATACAAAGGGATCTTGTAGCACCTTTGAGACTAGTCTACAAGATCTTTTGCATATTGGTCCTCAAAATAGTTTAGTCCCTTTAAAGTGTGTTGATATCTCTGGTCCTGCCCTCAATGTATGCTTGTTGTGATGGACCAATAAATTTAACAAGGTACTACATGGGTCATGGTTGTTTAGTGGTTAAGACACAAATTCTGATGATCATAGGTTTGGAAGGTTGATAGTTCGAGGCCCAAGTGCCATGTGATGGGGTGAGCTCCCATCACTTTTCCCAGCTTCTGCCAACCTAGCAGTTTGAAAGCATGCAAATCCAAGTAGATAAATAGGTACCACTTTAGTGGGAAGGTAGCAGCATTCTGTGCAGTCATGCTGGCCACGTGACCACCGGAGTCATCTTCAGACAACATTGGCTCTTCAGCTTAGTAACAGAGATGTGCACCGGCCCCTATAGTTGGTTATGACTAGACATTCATGTCAAGGGGGAAACTTTACCTTTTTACTACTGCCCACTTGATTAGTGCTCCTATGCAGGCTGAAGTCTCCTGAATGCCACCACACCCCAGTTGAGTTGTATCTGTTGCAGCAGCAGCCCAGCTGCAGAGGCAGCAGGCATTGCTGGTGCCCTAGTGTTTGTCCCATTGTGCTGGATGGGAAAACCAAGCATGCGACACAGTTTAGATTGTACTATTGAAAGGAGAATGTGAAGGACAGCCACATTAGAATTTCCAAGGTCTGAGCAGAGAGGATATATTAACAATAAACACAGCTGCCTTCACCTATTGACAGGAGATACAGGTCCAGTGAATGTAACCTTCTCCCCTGCTTGCTCAGTGATGATGAATGCTTTTCAGTTTGTACAGCCTGGGGAGGTGAACAGAATTCTTGGAGAGGTGAGATCCAACATGTGTGTGCTTGACTCTTGTCCTATTGAACCCATGAAAGTGATAGGGAGGGGAACTGACTGTGTAGGTGAAGAGAGTGGTAAACACCACTTTGAGGAAGCAAGGCAAGGTTTCAATGTGCCTAAAAAAAGAAGTATTGAGACCCTGCTGAAAAAGCAAGACTTCCCTCCATTCCACCATGTTGGATAACTTATAGCAGTCACCAGTATCCCATTCTTGGAAAAGATGTTGAAAAGTATGGTATACTATGGAATAAAATTGATTATTTAGATACAGGCTAGTCTGGATTGAGACTTGATAATAGGACAGGACTGCCCGTATAGCTGAAGTGTTTGAAAATTTCAGCAGGACCAAAACAGTGTGGCCAATTATTTGGGGGCATGGGATAAAATAATTTTGCTACAATAACTTCTCTAGCTACTGGTCTGTTTCTGGGCATAATTAAAGTGCTAGTTATCATCTATAAACTCCTGCATTATTTAGAACCAAGTGTTCTTCCATACTTGACTGTTCAAACTTTGTGATCCTTGAGGGCAGCCCTTCTCTCAGCCCTAGTACCCTCAAAGGCACATTTGGGGCGGGGGAGGATGGGAA